GCGCAAGACCGTCTACCAGCGGCACGTGCGGCCGCCCAGCCTGCTGGCCAAGAGCATCCTCGAAGGTAACACCGCTCCTCGCCGGAGAGCTGCCCCGAGCCCGGATCTCTGACCAACCCCCCCGGGCATCAGCTTGCGTGGGCAGGTTTCAATGCAAAGAAAACATTGTGTCTGTGTCTGTGTATGCATGGCTGTGTGCGCGCATATGTATATGTGTATACATACAGTGTGTGTGTGTGCATGCGTGCACGTATGTATATGTGTATCTGTATATACACAGATAGGGTTGTTGGTTGTAGCCATGTTGGTCTAAGGCAGACGAGGGTCTTTGGGTAGATGTGATATTTTTTATTAGGCCAACTAAATAGTTGGAAAAATTGTTCTCTGCAGGCTTGCCTGGTCAAACACCCTTCAGATGCTCCCTGTGTCTGAAGAACGGTGTTTAAACCCAAAAGCTTGCAAAGAACAAATTTTCCAACTATTTAGTTGGTCTAATAAGATACCACATTTACCCAAAGAACCTTGTCTGCCTAGATATACGTGTGTATGTAATGTATCTCTCTCTCACACACGCATGTGTGTATATATACCCCCCCACACATATACATATATGTGTATATAGACAGATACGTGTATGTATGTATATATATAATGTGTGTATGTATCTGTATATGTATATATGTGCATACATAAACATATTTGATATAATTTATTATATAATTAAATTAGATTTATATAATAAAATTATCATAATAGTTATAATCTAATGTATGATATAATATAATAGTAGATTACAATATATGAGAAAATGTAGTTTATAATATTTTAAATACCTATTATATAATATTATTATTATAATATATATTTTATGACCTGATCTATCTAAGAGACAACTTCTGAAATCAAATCAGGGCTTCCCCACTTTCTGTCATGGAAGACTGGCCTGGTTCATGGCACATGCTGTTTCTTCTGAGTTTCATAGCTAACAGAGAGCTTTCCTAGCTTATTGCAGAGCGAAAGGGAAAAAGCACTGGCTGTTTTATAGCAGATTGAAAAGATCTGGACTCACTGCCCAACTAGTTACCAAAGTCAGTGTAGGGGAAAAAAACCCAAGACCACAAATACATTATTTTCTCTCCTGTGGAGCTGTACATGTAAATGGCATGTACAGGTCACATGTGATCACAGACCTGTTGAAGGATGTCATTGGAAAACTTGTCTAACTTCTTTCTCCCAACTGTACCATGAAAGATCTCATCCTAAGAAAGCCTTGCCTTTCGCATCATTTCTGCGCCACTGCAACTACACAACTGTCTATGTAGACGGTTAAGCAGACAGTGCAATCCCAGTACATTAGGAATAGATTTTGGATTCTAGCAAGGAATTGTTTTAGAGCATAGAACTATATGTGATTCCCTCTCCCCGACCCTGAATACATTTATAGAATCACAGAGAAGTCGGGCTGGAAGGGACCTCTAGAAGTTACCTAGTCCAACCTGGTGCCTGAGGCAGGATCATAAGTTTCTTGTGTTTTGGTTGGGGTGGAAGAGGAGGAAATGTGTTTGCACTGTTTGTTAGGAAATGATGTGTTGCCAAAGAATGTTAGAAACAGCAACTTAAGATTTAGGGTCATTATTGGTGCAAAAAGAAATGGAGGTGAACACCTACCTGGCAGTTACTTGTCGTGCAGCAGTTCATCTAATTTTGTTTTACTTGCAATTGAATGCAGTGAATAGGACACTTAGTAAACTCAGATGTACACTGGAATAGATTCTTCAAACACATCCAATAGTGTGCACACAAGAAATTGATAAAATGCATTTTGTTCTGCCACAAATGTTATTTATAGAAATTGACCTTTGAAACATCAGGATTCAATTAACTCAGAAATTTTTTAAAGAACTAATTCTTGCTTTTTCCAATATCTGAGTCTATGCCCAAAACTGTTTACAGAGTTGTTTTGGTTGTTCTCCAAAGTTAGAATTAGAAAGAAAAAAAAGAAACAATGAAATCCAATCTATGAAATGACACTTTCTCTTAGCCTTTATGATCTTGATTGTAATTCTGGCCAGACACCAACATGATTTTAGCCAAATCATTATCTCTTTTCAGGTTACTTTCTTCTTCAATTCATTCTTTAAAAAAAATCTTTCATATTCTTTTTCCTAATTTATCTTAACTTTCTTTTTCTTTTCTCCTAGTTCTCCTTGGATTTTTCTACCATCTGTAACAATGTGTACATAATGATTCAACTTTAGAAAATAGAAATGACATCAGCTATAGGTATAGCTATATTCTTTGGCAATGGGAAAATAGTGTAAGATGCATGGGAATGAAAGCAGGCAAAATCTTTTTCTCCTTACTCTCCAAGTAGCTCCATTAAATTCACTGGGATCTTGTATTTGTGTAGAGCAAACTGGATCAGGCTCTATATATTTTATAGTAAGTGAACCTAATAAATGTAGTCTCCTAATGGAATATACCATAATTTCATATTTTATATTTTCACTGATTTACTTTTGAGAAACGAAAATAATCTGAGTATTTTAGATATTCATTTGTGTTTTTTTTTTTAAATATAATTTCAACTGTGCCAGTCTATAAATAATATAAAGGAGTAAACTCTTCTCCCTTCAGGCCCAATCTAGCTGCTGTTGGTACCAATGAGAGTTGTATCCAAGCTTCTGTGTAATTAACTTTGGTGAAGTTCATTTGCATGAATGACCTGATAAAAAATTATTTATCTGAGTAAAAAGAGGAGGATTTGGCCTTTTTATGTTAGAAACCTCTGTGTACTGTCATGTGAAAAGTACTGAACACTTCCAAAAAGGTGATGCCATGGGGAGCTGAGGGTATTCAGGATCTTGCAGGAATAGTTCCAAATTAGCATTTGTGTCCTTTTGTAAGCTCATTTTAACTTATTGATAACAATAATTTATTATTTTTAGGTTATCGCCCCATTCCAGCAGATCCCTACGTAGGAGGGAATTCACCCTTACCAGCACCTGTCAGTGACCGGATGAGAAAAAGACGGGCTTTTGCTGATAAAGAGCTGGAGAACATTATGCTAGAGAGAGAGTATAAAGAAAGGGAGATGATAGAAGCTACTCAAGCTGCTACCCTTTTTCTGCCTAACCACATGGTGCATGGAACTGAATACAATTCCTACAAAACTGCCTTTAATCCCTCTCAGATTGAAGCTCCCAATAAGGAATTTTGCAATTTCTTACCAACCTGCCTTGATCTAACCATGCAGTATTCAGGATCTGGGAACATGGAACTGATTTCTTCAAATGTCAGTGTAGCTACTACCTACAGACAGTATCCCTTATCCTCCAGGTTCTTGGTGTGGCCAAAATGTAGCCCCATCAGTGATGCTCTTCTCTATCAGCAATGTTTGTTAAATGCTACCACTGTCCAGACTCTCAAACCGGGGGCAGGCTGGGACTCCAAAGTTTCACAAAGTCAGGATTGTCTAAACTCGGAGCATGACATGATGTCACCAAAAATTGAAAGCTCATTTGTCTTTTCTCACCCTCGAGAAACTCGGCAGTCTCAAAGTGACATTCAAAGCGCCTCCCGAGATGCCCGGGAGAGGTCAGCTTTCTCCCCTCCGAAAAGAGCTTTCTCACAAATTTCTGATAAAGATTCTCTGGCTACACAAGAGCATGTCTTAAGCAAGATTAGCAAAGAGAGTACCAAGTACTCTGCCCCACTCAAGTACAGTCCATTTCACTCGCTGCTCCAGCAAACATTTCACGATAAATCAAGCTCTGAGTTAAGACCATCGTTTGTAAAAGAGACCTTTGAAGAGGCTTCTAAGAAGTACAGAGAATGCTCCATCAAAGAGAACCAAAAGTATAAATTTACAATAGACAGATATGCAAAAGACTTTTTTGGGGCCAAACAAGCTGCAACAAAACTCTCAACAAATGAGCCTCTGTCATTTTCAGTTGAATCAATCCTTAAACGGCCCTCTTCTGCAGTCAGCAATGTCTCTCAGTAGACTGCATCTTCAAAGTCAAGTTTAAATGCTTGCCCTCAGCAACTGTTGCCACTGTTTGCCTTTTCTCTTCAAAATTTTATACAGAGGAATTTGTGATGTAAATGGTGATTTAAAAAAAAACGTACATAATTATGCATGTTCTCTCTCATGAAAATAAATATATTTAAATTTTTAAAGTGAAAACTGTGAATGTGCAGATTATAAAGCACTATGCTTTATACAGCTTTCCAAACACTACAGCTCTAAAGGGAGGTTCATTGTGAGTCCAGTACAATACTACTAGCAGGGCAAAGACTAGGCATCATTTTTGCCTTGTGTCTCTATTCCCTCCCCAGCAGTGCAGGGATGAATTCACTTGCAGAACATACATATTGTTTTATTTGCTATGATATCTATACTAGCTGTATTATATCTATAAATTTGCTAAATGTATAAAACTGAATAATATAATATCTCTGCTAATTATTTGCTATGTTGGAGTAACCCATCATTTCATGGAACAGGCTATGTGCCAGTGTGCCCATGTTAATCTTTTCATTGACTGCAGTGGGCTTTGAATCTGAATTCTGAGCATGATTGTCATTCTGAAAGGATAACTTTCAGGCTAGTTTATCCTAGAGAACTAGCTTATTTTTGGCCTCGTTCTTGAAATCTTCCTCTTTCAAGCAAGAATGTGACTTGGTCAATTATGAAGTATGGAACTAGGTTTGAGGACAGGAAAGATGGAAAAGAAAGTCCAGTGATATTTTTTTTGTAAGTTCCCCCTCCCTACCTCCCCAGATAAAGGTCTTTTCTTCGTCCAAAGAGTCATTAAAATTCTTCTCAGGTTCTTCACTAACTTTAATATTTCATTTCCTAATCTGGTCACTTTTGATAATGTAATCAGGTTAGATATGTTGTCCTAAATGAAATGTACTTTATATGGTTAAAAAATTGCATAGGATGAATGCTAAATAATTTTTAAAAATGCTATAAAAGGTAAAATTTAAGGTATAATAATTATTTAAAAAAAGGTAAAAAATAAGTATCTTTAAGCAATAAAATGAGGTTAATTGGTAGAAACCACCATGGCATGAAGCCTCCTTCAGAAAGTAGAAATCTTCATTTTTTGGATTCTATGGTTGATACACTTACTACATTTCTTGAAACTGTGTTAGGTTTTTCTTTTAACATTTTGAAGTCACCAGACCTTCCCCCCCTGCTTTCCTTATACACCTTAACTTTAATCCTGTCAAGTGTGTTTGTTTAGTCATATTTGTTTTACAGTCATAAGGTTTTAGTAGAGCAGGATGAACAAATATCAGTGGAAGATAAAAGTCAGACTGTGAGCAGAATTATTGTTGTGTCAATTTATTCCCTATTCAAATGGGTTCAATGACCTTTATTCAAAACAAATATCAACCTATTGATTGGCAGTACCGGGAATGTTTCTTCAAATGTTTGATATCTGAGTTGGCTGAGTAGAATTACCTGAGTATCATGAGAGTGTTCTTTTCCCTGGCTGGGTGATGTGACTTTTATGAGCTGCTTTTATCTCTCTGTCGGAGTTTTTATACTGTTGCTCATCACTGGAGAATCTGAGTACTTTCTATGTAAAATCACCCCCATGGCAGGGGGTTGGACTTGATGATCTGCTCAGGCCCCTTCCGACCCTACCAACTATGAAACTATGAAACCAGTGGTAGTAAAGTCTGTCTTTTGCCTAAAAACTAGTTTCATTTAGTAGTAATAAAAACAAATGTTTATAAATTTAACAAATCCTAGCCACAGGCTCAAAATTCATATTGAATAAACATTAATACAAACAGGACTGTGCTCGTACAAACATTAAAATTATGTTCTCAATGTTGCTTCCATTGTGGTCACACCACTTTTTAAAGTCCCTGAGAAAATTTGAATTCCTTTTTCCAACTTTGCCCTGAGCCACCTCCCATTATGGTCAATGGAAAGACTACTAATTAAGTAGGAGGTAAATCAGGCCTTATTTGCATAGCTCTAGATGGTAGCTAACCATGAATTGACATTCACTATGAATCACAACAGTCTACTAGCTTTTGCCTTTTCATATCTCATGGTTTCGTTATCATGGCTTTGTTCTTTGGTTGTGAAATGCTAACAAAGGAATTTAATTTAAAATGTTATTTGTTTCTTAAGCTGTTGGCGTAAACTGTGATGAGAGATGAAAGGAAACTAAACATCCAGCCAATGGATCAGTATTATGCTTTGGGAATCAGTCCTACATAAATATCTCTTCATCTGACAATGGATGTAACGAATTTTGTTCAATGTAAAATCAGAAATCAATTTCCTAGAGAAGGATAATCTTAATGTATGTCTGAAATAAATGCTGTAACTCATGACTTCTTTTAAAGAGCCAATTGAGATAAGCACACACACATTCTGGGGCCATTCCAACTTCTTACATTTATATTCCAGGTAATTTTTTTTTCAAAGCACAATAATTGGAAGGGGAGTGACATTTCTATTATTACTCCTCCCTAGAAATGTGACCCTTGAGAAGAAATGGGGCCAAATCCTGTTGGTTGTACTGCGCAAGTAGTCCCAGCAGAGTCAAGTTTTAGTCTGCTCTCTCTTGTCACTGCCTCACTCATTCATTACTGTAGGTTTTATTATTTCTCTTGGTACTTACTTTTCTTTCTTTTTATAACCCAGGGGTTCTCATGAAACTATAAATATCTTTCATGTAGTTTAATAGCTCATCACTCCCAGTTCTGTTTTCTTTTCTTCCTTGAAAACATTTGTGTATCCAGTTAGCGCTCAGGGAAAGGAAAGATGAATAATCTGAGTCAGGCATCATGCATATAAAATGCTGTGTGAGCTTCCTCACAGCGTTCTGCCTCATCTACAGCATTGCTACTCTTTCTCCTTAAACTTCTCTTTGGCAGAAGTTGTCAGTAGTGTCCAATGGCACAATTGTTTGGTGACATGACTAGAAGAGACCACAACTATTATTTTCAGTTTTGACCAAACCTGGTTTTGAACCCAGCTCACTTGCTGTAACTGTCTAATGCAGTGATTTTTCTACCTTTCTTTCATCTGTGGACCCCTAAACATTTTTGAATGGAGGTTCAGACCCCTTTGGATTGTTAAGTTTGGGTATTCACATACTTTTGATTGACTGTAGTCATTTTTTTACGGAACCCTGTAGTCCGCAGACCACAGGTTGAACACCAATGTCTAATGCATTATTTAGGAGCCATACCTATCTTCTCCCTATCCCCACTATTTTGTTTTGTCTTGTGATAGGTCATCTGTGAAATCAGCTTTATACCACTATTTTTTTGTATATCATTTCCCTTAGGTATATGAACATGTGAGCCCGGGTCTGTTTCTTCTGTAGGTATCCACTACTCTTCCTGCAGTTTTAGTCACGCCTCATTTATACTTCACTCAGCTTCTTTTGCTTACTCCTCTGATTTACCCTATGCTAACCTGAGTCTTTCCTGAGCAACTGTGCATTCTGATCAATCATCTGTTCATTTTCTTTTAAACATAAAAATGGTGCTTATTGTGGCAAAGGGCAAAGCATAATCATTCCCTCTGCTTGCATGATAACAGGAACCTTGTTGATGCAGTTGCCAGAGGACACAAAACCACCTGTAATTACTGTGCATTTTGTGTGCAAGAGGAGCTCTCTCTTCATTTCTAACAATGTGGAGGGGGTGTGGGGTCTGAGGCTGCAAATTCTGAGAGTATGCCTGGCTCAACACCTCTAGCTTGCTTGTCTGATGTACAGGCCCAGGAACGTGTTAGAGTTACTGGCTCAACACCTGTGAATTTCTGACCCTGTGTCAATATAGTGACCTCTTTGAGGTCACTAGGCCAGCAGTTCTAGATTCACATAAGCTTAAATTTTATGGTAAAGCCAGGATTTCTTGAAGGTCTCTGTTTCTAGTCAGCTGGGCTGACATCAAGGCACAGACCTATGTGAGGTGACTGGCTAATCAGTCACCATTTTATCAACTGAGGTCAAGGTTAAAGACCTCTGACAAGTCACTGGCTAAATATTTTGGATGTTCTGGGCCTCTGTGAGGTGACGATTTCACTACCTTTTTCTGACTGAGAGTACCAAGGCTTAGCAGCCCTGGGTTATCAAGCTACTGTGACAGCACAGGTCTCTTTGAGGTTACTGTAGCCAGCATTCATTAGCACTTAGTTGCAGCTGGTCTCTAACTCGCTCAGAACTGTTTCCTTATTTTAACCACAGCACAACCTATGTTTTCATTTTGATTTGTCAGCTTGTTTTGATAAAATGATTCAGCTCTCACACTGAGTGCTTTCCATTCATCTGACCTTGATGTGAGAGATAACTATTTGGAATCCTCGCTCTATGATGGATATGATTCTCACTTGTATCATCAAGTTCCTTTCCCATTGAATCTTTGCCAGCTGAATAGAATACAGTAAATATGATACCTCCTTTCCAATCAGATAAGTATTGGCCATTTCTCATTTGATTGTACTAAAACCAAGGCAAACTACTTGCGCAAGCTTAGCCAAGGGTAAGGCACATTTTGGCAGGTGGTTTATGTGTGGAACGAGTATAAGCATAATGAGGGGCCAGGGTCAAGCTGGCCAGGGTCAAGCTTAATATGTAAGAAAAACATATAACTGGAAAAAAGTGCTTATTTATTGGAACCTTTATTAGAGTATTTATTAGAACCCTGGCCCCCACACTGCTTCTTCAGTGAAGCTGGGGTGATTCTACTGTTTTGGTATGTGGGGCAGAAATAAGGCATGCAGGGCTCAGCCCACATCATATAGAGAGCATCCAAAACAGGTGGTGTGCTGCTGGAGAGTTATGGGAATGTCTGGCAGGTTTGTTACCACTCAGATTTGCCAGCTCAGCTCCCCTGCTTGGTGGGAGATGGGGCTCAGCCACTGCAGGGAAAACTGAACATTAACTGGCTGTAGTAGTGTCTATGGAGCTGCTGCGGGGGTGTAGCGTGCGGGTAGAATCCCATCACTAGACTTAGTGTAGAGGCAAGAGCACTCAGATCCGTGCAATGAAAATTTAGAAGTTGACTGTACATTGCCATGGACATAGTGTTATACCGATTGTACTAGCCCCTCCCAGCAATTAAAGGCCTCTTTAGTAACCAATGGGGAAAAGAATGATTTCCCGTATTCCATCGTCTTAAAACACTGTGTCTTTCCTAACTATTTTAAAACTGATTAAAGGATGAAACGCATACCCTAACATGCACACAACTTTCCAATTCTTATATTGCTAGACCTTTCACATCAATATATGCCCACATTCTGGGCAGCTAATGTCAGAACTTGGAGAAGTGTGGACCAATTAGAAGTCTTCAAATCTTCTACCATCTTAAAGGGGAGGAGGGCTTAGCGCCTGAGGGAATCCTCTTAACTACATAGCTGAGCGCTGCTACATGAAAGGCCCTATGCATCTCCTCCCTCTCCTCTCACTATACTCTGCCAAACCCAGGCAAGAAATGATGCAAATATTCTTTGCTCACTTGCTGCCTGCACTAACAGCCCAGTCATGCAGGAGACAAAGCAACCTCAGCCATAGGTTGACTTAGAATCAGGGGTCCTGTTTTTCTCAGTTTAAAATTTGCAAATTCTATGATTAAAAACATTGCAGATTCTTTGATTTAAACCCCCCAAATCCACATTTTTCCATGATTAAAATGATATGCCCCTATATATATATATGGTTGAATGCAATGTTTTATTGATATATTTACAATTTTAAAGCAATTTTGAAGCCTACCAGTGCCTCAATTACTATAATAAAATAAATTATAAATACCTATACATTTGGGTGTTTGATTTCGGGCTTTTTTATCATGGAAAATCAAAGCTCCCCCCGCCCCCTTCACTCACCAGGATGCGGGTCCAGCTGTGGCTGTCTCGCCTGCTCCCTAACTGGTTTGTGGTGCTGAGCAGCCATGATATGCTGGTGCCCTGCCCATGCCATCGCCCCTCAGTTTCAAGCCACAGCCCCCCAGCCCTGCTGGTGCCCCTCACTTCAAGCCCACAGTTCCCTGGCCCTGCTGGCGCCCATCATTCCCCACCCCAGCCCCCTGGGCCCTGCTGGTACTCCTCACTTCTGACCTACAGCCTTCTGGCCCTGCTCCTGTCTCCTGACTCACAGTCCCCTGGGCCCTGACAGTGCCCTTCACTCCCTACCCACAGCCCCCCACCCCTGCCAGCCCTGCCAGAGGGGCCCCCCAGCTGCCAGGGCTACTGGGCCAGGGACCTGGGTCTGCAGCCCCCTGTCACTCCCAGCAGCACTCAAGCCCCCAGCCTGAGCCTGTGGGAGGCAGCAGCTGCTGCAGTGGAGTGGAGCAGAGTTTGGCTCCCCCTCCCCCATGGGCAGCACAGATGGAGCAGAGCCCATGGGGCAGATGCGGGCTGGCTGCTGCAGGCTCAGGGCTCCTCGCCCTGCTGCCCTCCCGCTGGGAGCCTTCGTGGCCCAGTTGGTGGGACCCAGTGCAACAGGGCAGTGGAGTGGGAAGGCTCTGTGCTGCTACCAGGAGCCCTGTGGTGACATGGTGAGGCACCCCCTGCCCACCAGGCAGTAGTGGGGGTGGGTGACAGCATGGCATTGTGCCCTTGCTGCTGCTGTGTATGCAGGGGATACCTCACTATGGCCCCACAGGGTTCCCAGTGGTGGCACCGAGCCTCCCCAGCCCACTCTGCCTTGCTGCACTGGGTCCTGCCTGCTGGGCTGTGGAGGACCTTGCAGGGAGGGCCAAAGGGTAGGGGAGCTCTGAGCCCACAGTGGGCAGCCTGCATTCACCCTGCGCACAAATCTGGGGGGCATGTGCCCCTCATGCCCTCCCCCCCCCCAAGAGGGTTCTTAATGGTGGGAGCCAGCCCCTCCCACTGCCACCCTGGGCAAGCTGCCCATGGCTCCGTCTGCTCCCCGCCCGGGCCCCGCGGCCACGCATTCCAGCCCTGGGCCCCAAGCCCCATGCACCACCCTGGCTAGGCAGCAGTCCCAACCCTGCCCAACTCCCTCCCTCCCTCCCTCACTATGAGGGCCTCAGTTCCCCCTGCCCCCCAGACTTACCCTGCAGGGAGCTGCGGGAACTGCTCTCATGCTGCCTGGTTGCCACGTGCATGTGTTCATGCACACATGCGCATGTCACCTCCTGCCTGATTGTCCTCTTCCTGGTCCCTCCAGCTCCTTGCTGCCTGTATCTCCAACTAATGCTAATAAAAACCATTATATCACTAGACATCAAAATGCATTACATAGTAAATGCAAACTAATTAACATTGTCTGACATTAAGACTGCAAGATCAAGCACTAAAAAGAAAATAAAACTTCCTAAAGCTAAAGGTGTCCCAACTGTTTGAACTCAGC